TCAATGGCCTTTTTGGGGTGAGGGGCCCAACACTGAACCCCCTCAGCGAGGGGCGGCCTCCCCAGTGCCGAGCCCAGGGCTCAGATCCCTTCCCTGGCCCTGCTGGCCAGGCTGTTGCTGATACAAACATCATAACACCTGATAAACAATATCATCTTCTTCGCAACATTTGGAAGATGGTAATAAACACTGGTTTGAGAAACAGTAGCATTTAGTAAAACTACCTAAACTGTAGCTCAACCTGCACACAGACGGTGGGAAAACTTGGGGGTTTTCCTCCATTTCAACTAAAGGGCATCTGGTTCTTCAATATGAAAAAAAAAAATAGATTAAAACTGACGTAAAAATTGAATCCCATTAGCATTACAAGTAAATAAAAAAAATATTTTTTTTTTTATGAGAGACCTTTAGTGATCGTAAAGAGAGAAATCAAATCTGGATTGTATATTCACCAGATTGTTCAATACAAAAGCCAGCGAAGTTAGGCTGTGCTGATGTGATAAGCAAAAGGAAACACCTTAGTTTCCATCCCAGGACAAGATATCATTGGAGAGCCGAGTCAATTTTTCTGTCCATCAAATCACCATTAAATGAGCCCATACTTCTCAGCAGGCGGATCCATGGATTCGGCCCCTGTCGACGTACCAGTAATGGGATGTGAATACATTGTGTTCTGGGTCAGAGCGATTCAGCACCCCAGCACCGCTCACCGCCAGCCGCCTCGCGCAAACGGCCGCAGTCAGCCTGGGCGGGCAAGTGTCGTCAGGCTCTCGGTAGCCACCGCAGGAGGGAGCGGGTCTGGGGCCCATGACGAGCAGAGGCAGGGGTTGAAGCTTTCGCGAGCGTCGGCCTGTTCCTGCCCCCAGGCACAAGGGTAAAGATGCGGTTACGGCAGATCGGGGCTGTGCGGGTCCCTTCAGCCTGAGCACGCTGCACCAAACCCTGGTTTAAGCAAGAAAGGGTTTAGTGCCCGGGGATCGCTTCATGTTCAGGCCGTGAGGCAGAAGGAACCCACGCTCCTCGCCCCCACGGAGGTGGACAGTGTCGTGCTGAGGGCAGCCCGCGGTCCGCGCCGCACGCAGCACACATGCAGGGCACAGAGCCCATGCTGGGGCGCTGGAGGAGAAAATCTCCACTGCTGCACGTGGAAAGATCCGGATTAATGACAGGGCAAGGAAGGGGACAACGTTTTCATCTTAAATGTTCGGGCTGTGAGGCTTGGACGTGTTTCTCTGGAGTCAATGGTACCTTCTACTTGAAGGGGCAAGAATCAGTTTGGCTGAGTTCCCAGTTCCATGGGAATTAGACGTTGTTTTGTTAAGGTTTTGAAAGAAAAAAAAAAAAAGGTTAGTCTAATTTTTAAAGAAATGTAAAGTCTTACTCTTCCTCATTTACCTAAAACAATGGTTGTGTAGTGGCTTCGTGAGAATTTACTCTCCCTGCTGCATGAAGATCCCATTTAACACACACTGCAATGGTCCTGTGTGCCTAATTGTTGTTCGGCCTTATATCACAAGATCTGACACGCAAGCTCACAAGGATCTAGACTAGCACTGACAAAAATCTAGAGCAGAGAGAACCTCTTTGATAAATGTGACCGAGAATGCAGCTACCAAAGTAGTAACGCTGCGTTTTCGTTTCCCTGTTGATTCACCGCACCTTGCAGCAGGTTTACACCTGGACGGTGAGTTTGGGAAATTTATTCAGTGGGAATTAGAGCAGGAATTAGGTGGGATATTGATAAACACAAACACAACCGGACCCTTGACCCTGCCTCACAAGACACTTAGTGGCTAACTCAGGTGGCGGGGAAGAGCCGCTTCTCAGGAGAGCAGGCAGGGATGGATAGAAGAGGGGACAGGGGAAGGGCAGGAGGAACGGCTGTGTGGACGCGAGAGAGAACGTTTTGGTTTAAATCTTGTCAATATATTAGCTAGGCGGAGTGGGCAGGCCCACCCCCTTTACCATCAACACACCCACCCAGTACCGAGACTAATTTCAATCAAGGAATCAGCGGAAATCTTGGGAAATGCCTTCAGCTGAGGCCTGACCTAAACGCTGTCACCAATCATGTGTTTCGCTGTGAGTGGCATCCAAATCACCCAGCCTGGGAGGGTAAAATGAGGGAAATGCAAT